AGGCTCAGGATCCCAGGCACCTGAACAGATGGTGAAAAGTTCCTCTTTTAGTGAGGTACGGTGTTAATAAGGTCCCAGTTCAGCAGCTGCTGCTCTCACGACCAGAGGCTCACCCCACAACAGAAGAAACATGACTGGGCTGGATGGCGGTGGCAGCGAATTCCCTTTCCCAAGCAGCAGCTCCGACAGTCCTCAGAAGGCAAGAGATAGAGAGACAGAGATGACAGAGAGATGAGAGAGACCTGCACCCAACCCAGTTTTCCTCACTGCATGGGAAACCTCAGGTAGAGAGAGTAGCCAGCTGTACCCCTCCCCCTGTGCTGACAACTTTTGTCTTCTGTTAAGTATCCAGTCGTTATTGTCTTCTAGCATATTGTCCTCTAGCAACATGTATGGGGAAAAATTCCTGAAGAGGGAAAAAAAAAGCAAACCAAAAGGAGAACTCCTAAAACTCCAACATTATGACACTGAGATAGCACATCAAAGCCAGCTCTGGTGATTCAGGTGATTCTGCTGATCACCTCAAGAGATGCCTTCTGAGGGAATACAGAACAGTAAGCAGGACCTTCAAGCAAGGTAAATACAAAGAGATGACTCATTAGTCTAAATGATGAAGCCAAGTTTAGCCATGGAGCAACTAGACCAACAGCACAGCATCTGGGGGAGTTCACATCCACTTGTTTGTAGTATTCTGGGACCACATAAAACATTTGAACCACTTTCTGGGACTTCTCTCAATACCTAGGGGAATTCAATCTCTTGGTATAATTTCAATCCCCCAGAGGTCCCAGAGATAACATCAGAGGCAGAGCCTGAGGACCTTCAGATAGATTTATTACAGATAGAATTATTTTCAGATTTTGTTCTATTTGAGACAGATGTATTTTCCTTTTAAAAGTGTCCTTTTGACTTTGTAGAAAGGTGCAAACAAGACTGTGACTGCAAACCAAGTATTTTGTTCTCTTGGAGAGTACGATGGCAAGGATTTTTGTATTATTCAAATGGCTACATATGTTCTTTGCAGCACTGCTGGCTCAATTAATATCTGATTTTCTGCTCCCTGCCTCCAAATTATGGAACCTTTCTCAAAGATCTGGAATGACAGTTACACCTCTACAGACCACAACTCTAAAATAACACTAAAGAATTTCTGACAATTGATTTTCAAGATGTTCTTACAGCATATTTTTCTAGTAAAGGCAATCTATACATCTCTAACCAGAACTGTAGATATATCAGTTACTTCAGCATACTCACTGTCTGTATAATGGCCATAGAAGCTGGCACACAGCTCTTCTGTGTGCCTCAGAGGTTCAGATTTAGTCAAAAGCACCATTGAAACCAGTGTGCCAGGAGCTAACTGAATAATGAAAGTAATTTTCTCCATTTCTGTGACAAAAAAGCCCTCAGTTTGGACAGCATTATTTGCAGCCAATTATTCTGCTACTTCCAGCAGTGCTCCAGGGAGCTTTATTACTTCTCCACAGAGCTTAGGAGCTGTTCTTTAGGTTAATCTCTTTTAGACTCCCAGTTCCTTTTGCTTACTTAATGTTAACCCAGCAGTGCCATATGACAGGAGCTTTAAGTGCTATCTGTTGCTTTGTATTACCTCTCAAAGGACTTTGGAACCTGTCCCAACCAGGAAAAGAACAGCTTTTGATTCTTGGAATAAGACAAAAAGTGCCACAGTAACAGTGGAAGGGTGAAGAGGAATAACTGGCATATTCAGAATGCCACTTTAGGGCAAAGCTCAAGTGACACTGCCCTGCAGCAGGACTTGAAGAGTTTGAAGTCCATCACTTTATAAATATATTTTGGCAAGAACCTGCACCATTCTCTTAGACATGTTTCTCCTTTGTAATGACTGTGGTTTGTCTATAAGATTTCCATATCCCTGATGTGCTTGCACTGGGATTACTAGTAGGAGGATTACAAATTTAGATAGTCTCATATCTGTGTAGCATTTAAAGTCAAGGAACACTGGGCTTGGCCAGTAAGACCATCACATCCAGTTTCACAATTTTCAATCACATCTGCCTACACCTTTTAACATAAACCTGAAGAAGAGACGAAATTCCACTTTATCACTGTTGGAATAGGGAGCAGAACTGTGACTTCATATATTTTCATCCTGCTTGAGCAGGGAGGTTGTCCCAAATGACCCCACTAGCAGGTCCCTTTTAACCTTAATCATTCTGTGATTTTCAGGGTCTTCAGAGCAAGCTTGCTGAGTTTATAATGTTTTATTTAATTAAAAAATGGCCCTGGAAGTGTAGCTTGAACCCTGAAAGTAAAAATGCATTTATTCCTTATTTACTTATTAAATTTCCCAGAAATAGAGCTGCAGACAAAGCACTTCTGTGAATACCACATTTGTTACCTGTGACAAATTTAATTCAGCAAGCTCTAAACCACAGGTCAGTCAGCCTGTTCCATTATGGTATCATCAGGGCAACTTATGTTAACTGAAGCCAACTGAGGACCTCTTCATCCTAAAGAGGACAATAATAAGCCTTTTACTTCAGCTCAGCAGAATTCACAGTTCATCCCAACAAGAGGGAATGAATCCCAGTAGGTGTGAGTGAACCCAACCTCTTTAAATACTTATTTATCCCTAGCACAGCTGGTAATCACAGTTTTGGGGGTGAGGCTAGGTTGGATTTCTCTTTTCTGTCCTTCTCCAGGGTAGTCCTAGTGAAGTGGCCTAAGATTCTATCTTCTGAAGAGCCTAAGTGCTGCTAACAAAAGCCTCTAGATCTTTCTCATGCTGCTAGTAGAGCTGTGACTTTGAAGACTTCACTCTAAGAGCTTGAAATGTAAAAGCTGATTGGATGTGCTTGGCTGCAATGCCCCAGTAGCCCAGGACAGCCAGTTCCCCTAACAGTGCATGTGAGAAGGTGAAGTGAACCCATGACAGGCAGCCTGTCTTGGACAAGTGGAAACATTGAAGACAAGGCTATTTCCTTCTTGAGGTTTTCTGAGGTGGCTGTTAGAACTTCTCTTAATGCAGTCACTGTCTTGAACCCAATCTCTAAACAACCTAAAACAAACAGAGGAGGATTTTCATTCACTATCTTCATGTGTGCAAGGTGGGAAAAGTTAGTTAATTGACAACACATAAGAGGATTCAATATCTTCCATCAGAGCAGAAGGCACTAACCATGCAAAAGCTTCAGTGGGAACTTGCAGTCCTCTTCTTTCCTCCATTGAAACTGTGCTTAAACATTCCCCAGTAATTAAGTATGCTTATGACTCAAAATATTTAAAGTTCCTTGAGGGAAGAAGATGTGCAGAGGCCTTGATCCACTGTATTTTTATGTTTGGGGTTATATTTTTTATGGAGGAGTTTGCATCTTATCTTCTCCTCCCCTGCATTGTGTCCTTAGAACAAGACTGTGGATATGCTTTTTCTCAAAATAAAATAATAATTTAGGAAACAGAACAGTGTTTGTCAAAAGAAACGAGGGTGGAGATTGTGGGTGCCAGCATGGTGGCTTGTACCACTTTGGGACGCTTTCAGAAATCATCACTCCTGTCATACACAGGATCCAATTTCAGCAAGAGTTCCACTCTCTCCTGTGGTTTCCACATGGCCAAATAAGACAAGTGCTTCTTGAGACCGAGGGCTCATCAGCAAGGATAGATTTTCTACCCACTGGTAGAAAATGAATAAACCTCAGATTGAGCAAGTTGCCAACATACTCTTGAATGTGCTGTGGAGCACCACTGTGGGATTGTGTAGGCATTGCCATGGCCAGGGAGAGACCAAATGGACGATCTGGTAATCTGAAACTTAAATTTAGCTGCAGTTCCAGAGGGATAGTCTGATAGCCTGCTTCCTAAGCCATTTCATGTACTGGACCTCAAAGATCCTCCCAGGCCCTGAAGTTGCTTTCTCTGAGGGTGTATTGTGCCACACCTGCATTTCAGACAGTTGGTTTTCAGTCCCTCCTCACTGATTCTGCCCCACATCCTGAGTTCTCTGGCTGAAGTGTGAGACTTCTAAATTTAGAAGCAATTATTTATCTCTGCCTAAGGGAAACTTCTAAGTATGATCTAACTTAAATTCTTACCTGTAGGGCAGGCTGCACAGCTGAACTTGCCCAACATGGAGAAGTAAAACAGGCACCAAACCCCTGCCTCATTTCTGGGGGAGGCCCTCAGATGGCTTCTGGGCTTCTCAAATCTCTGCATTACAGGGAACCTGCACACCTCTCCAGCAGCTGAAATCTTGAGCAGGGAAGCAGGGTGGTAGCAAAAGACTGAGCTAACACATGGTGAGGCCCAAGGAAATGGTGTCAGAAGCACAGCCTTTAGTCCAGAAACATAATCAAAGCCTGGGGAAGAGTGTGGCAAATGCTGGGGTCAGCACTGCAAGTATAAAGCAAAGCTGGACAGCCCCTGAGCAAAGCACAAGGCACTGCCCAAACCAAACCAAGATCAATGCTGAGCAGCTCAGGATATATCCACTGACTCCTTCCACCAAGCACAACACAAATGGAGTGGCCTTCACTGAGGCAAAACCCCGTGATCAAAACTGTATTGCGCAGCAGGATTTCTACTTCACCTTAATATCACATGCATTAATCCTCTGCAAAACTACTGATCCAACTCTCACACCACCATGGTACTGTGAGGGAGAAACAAAGAGCTGGGTGTGCTCAGGACAGGAAGAGCTGCAAGGTTCACACTGCCCAAAACCATAACTGACAGCGGATACATTATGGTATTTCTATAAGAATGTAAATACATAATGATGATTTCCCCTGAGAGGCCATATTTTCATTTCTTTACGAAACAATTAAGTTGAATTAAGATGGAATCTCTCCATACAGATGCTTCAGGAGTTGACATTACAGATTTCTCAGAATTGCCACTGTCTCAAAAGTGCCTAATTCAGAGCAAATTAATACAGCCTTGAAAGCTGATTTTAAGACAACTCTCCCAGACACAAGGTACTGGCTGAGGAAACAGTAAAAGAGAAAATGGGACACCAGGCATTGTGTGACATCAGGAAGCATATTTCTGTTTATTTGCCTTTCTTCAAGAACTCTAACTCACCATTAGGCAAAGGAGTGCATACAGGATGTACAAGAAAAAGATTAAAAGAGACTTCTTTATTATTGTATTCTGTGTCATGAAAGCCCACAGCCTTTTTTTTTTTTTTTGTGTGTGTGTGTGTGTGTGTGTGTGTGTGTGTGTATGTGTTTGTTTGTTAAAGGATATGTTTCTACTCTGGTTGAGGTGTTATAGTTCAGAGAACAACCCATCATCTGCAGGAAATCTCTTCAGAAAATTAGAAGTGAGCACAGCTATTTGCTGAGTGTTTTCCTGAACAAACACTGGCAGTGTTTGTCCAGGAAAAATAGCACTAATAGTATTTGACCAGACACTTGTGAATTTGTGAACCCTTAAGTTTATAAAGAAATAGGAAATCCATCTGCAGGGATAGGCAAAAGTGGTTGGAGTTGCTTCCACCTCAGCGGATTCCCACCTGCTATAAACTTGTATTTGCTCAGTACAGCTATGATAACCTGGCAAAGGTTCTGCCCAGGCATAGACAGCTTGCCCATAGTCCAACTCACTGCCTTAATAACTTCCATATATAATATTAAACCCCACAGTTTGTCTCCTAATATCCTTCACATGATGCTCTGTCTGCTCACATCCACATTATATGCTGATGAATTGGAACAGCCTCGGCCAAAATCAATGAAAATGCCTTCAGAATCTGAGTCAATTGACTCCAAAATCTGATCTACTATGTTTTCAGGGCTGGAAGAGGGAACTGGAAGTAAGGAAGTGTCTCTGTCAAGCTCAAAAGACCTGTGTGGGTCGCCAATTGAGTGGAAGAGTCCTTTCTGTTGCTCAGCTGTGCTGAGTTTGCTGGAGCACTGCACTGACCCAGTGCTGGGCCTCTCCTGGTCTCCTGGCAGTGAGCTTTTCATGGTTGTCATGGAGCTCTTGGAACCGTTATCCATGATGGTGGTGAGGTTGGAGTACCCCTGGAGCTCCAAGCAGGAGGTCATTTCTGAGACGGAGTGCCTTCGGATGCCAGTTCCGTTGGCAGCTATGCTCTCAGTTTCGTACTCGGCCACTGGCGTCAGCAGAGGATTGTTGTAGCTCTTTGATCGCACCACAGGGTTCTTGGCAAGGATGTCACCCGACTTGGAACGTCTGAAGAACCGCTTCTCTGTAAACAAAGATCCAGAGTAGTATCTGCAAAGTCTCCTATTATGGACTAATAATTATGAGTGTTCAAAAGAAATGTGAAGTCCTGAATATTCATAAGCTTTTCTTGAATAAACTTTTCTAGAAGAAGATATTTTACTGTTTTTGTAGATTCACAGGCTTCAGATTTCCTAGATTTCTTTAGCATACTGAAGACCCCAAATCTATCTTTACAAATAGTAACTGAGACTCTCTTATATTCACACAACTTCAGCAGCTGAAGTAAAACAGTGAATACAGTGGCAGAGGTGCTATACAGCTGTAATTACTTCATTTAGACAAGAACAGAAAGTGCAATTTTGGATTTTTTCAGGCCATAGAAGTAATTAGTCATCTATAGTAGCTGAAATTTAACTTTTCCACCCATCCTGGGAAAATAAAGTCTCTTTAAATTTGGAGCTTGAGGATTAAGACATGCAGTTTTTCTACTAATTCTGGAAAAACTTTCCAAGTATTGTTCAGAGACCACATGGGGGGGAGCACCAAGAGTGTCTGAAAATGTTAACTAGAGGGCAGTGCCCACAGAAACCTCTTTATGGGGGAGAAAAATCTGCATTCAATCAAGTAGTGATTGCCTGAATGCTGTTAACCAAGTGGGATTTTCCCAAAAGATAAGCAGCAGATGGCAGCAAGTGATCATGGAGCTCCCTCTCTGGCAGTGGTTTAGTGCTGGAGTGTCCTGACAGTGTGAATAAAATGACCATCACGAGCAAAACGACCACCACTCAAACTCTGTGCAGGTCTCAGTGCTCAGATTCACTCCTGCTATTAGAAGAACAAGTGGTGTGAATAATAGGTCTCACTTTTGAAGCTTTCTTTCTGCTAATCTCACTTTGCCATCCAATGAAAGAGGCACAGCTGGAGCAGGGAATCAAATTACCCTCTGGAAGTCAACCACAACCACTGCATACTGCCTGCTTTAAATCAGGATGCTGGTATATGCTCCCTGCAAGCTCTGCAATTTCCTTTACATATTCCAATCTCAAAATTATACTATTGTGTAATTATGTGCTTACCTGGACACAGATCATATTCTGTACTACTAAAAAAGCCAATTTCTGTATTTAAGATTCTATTTTGCAGTTGTATCTGCTTCAGCAGTGAAACAATCTGATCCAAGTTAATTTTAGGACTTTTTCTTTGTTAGGAGTTTGAGCTGGCAAACAGGTTCCTGGGGCTATGAACTCTGGTCACAACATGCAACATGCTAGCAAAATAGCTGAGGAGAATTAGATGCATTAGTTTAACAGAAGCAACCATTTACACACTCAGCTCCCTTGGATCCAGGTTCAGTGATTACAGCAAGACCCATTTCAGGAGTATTGCTGCAAGAGGAAGTGCCCAGCCCACAGAAACCTTCCTATTTTCTGCAGACATGTAATAAGGCATTTATTAACTAACAATTTGTTTCACTGGTGCTTTATTCTCTTTGGGTGCATTATTTTCTATCTTGTCATACAAAAGGTTGTATTTAGAAAAGGTCTCCTTTCTAAAGGATTTAGAAATTTGGGGCTCCATTTAAATGCTTGCGGCCTTTTAATGGCAAGCAGTGAATACAAAGCAGTAATCCTGAACAAGTTTCCATAAATAACCAGCCTCTATTTATTAATGTAAAACTCATTTGTTTCTTCAACACCTGCTGCAACACAACCATTTTGCCACTCAGCTTCAACTGAAAATCAATTACTTTACTGACCATTTCTGACAAGCAGGATTGAATTGACTACAGATAAAATGGGCAATTGAACTTATTTTCCCTTCTGTCTGCCCTGTTCAGTGAGGCCACCCCAGTATTTACAATAAAATACTCAGGTACTACCACATTTCCTTTTTCATTTACACTGGCAGTATCCCCCTTGTATTTTCAACAGATTGCATTGCTAAACAGGATATTCCACCTTCATCCTGGCTAAATCCTGCCATCACAGAAGTCACCAAAGGCTTCAGAGCTCCAAGAATCAGAAATTAAGCTGAAGGGAACTCAAGCTGCCACTAGGCCAGCCCGCATTTCCCCCTTGCTCCTTACAGATGCTGATGTACATGACAGGTAAAAAGTGTCTCAGCAGTGAAGATTCAATAACCTCCAGAGGAAATTCACATGGAACTAGGTATTTTTCCTTCCACATAATATGAATTCCCCCTGCTATGTGAGACCCACTGTGTATTTCTCATCTTCATTGAGATTACCTTCTACTCTGCAGAAAGCTTTTACATGTTTGAAGGCTTATGTGTTAGTCTTCTCTAAGACAAATTCCTATACTCTTCCCTAATTTTAACAGCCTTGTACAATCTTTGTGTACTAATGAGCACTAATGAAAATGAACTACTGAGTACTTTAGAAGTGGCTTCTTGCTTCTTCCTCTCACTGTTCATCCTGTGTTAACATCCTGTGTTAAAGCTCTCTTGCTACATGGTGGAATAGAAATTCTAAACACATTCTAGATTCATTTTACTGATTTTTATTACTACGCACTCTTATGATGATGATCTGTTTTCATCTTTTGCCACTGCCAGTTTCACTGTGACTCTGCAGAGCATGGTTTTAGAAAAGAAGGCTGATGTATTCATGTAAGCTCTGTCAGTCACCTCTTGTGCAGGCCCTGGCCCAGCATGGAGGAAGGTTTTGGGAAGTCCTCTGTGCTGTGCCAAATGAAGTCTGTGTTGTTCTTACCCAAGATACAGGCAGAGTGTGTGAAGGGTCCATCACTGGAATACAGACCATACGTGCCCAAGTAAGGAGAAACAACCTTCTGGATCAGGGATTCCAGTTTCAAATAATCTTCAGTCACACCTTTCGACTCATGAACTCCCTGAAAAAGAGGAAATACCCAAGATGAGCACTGCCCCCTTCAATCACAAGCTCTCCTGGCTCACCAGGGCAACCAGAGAAGAACAAGCATTTTCAATGAGTAACAGCAAAGGTGCTCTGCAATGTGATCCTCGTTTGCTGGTACAGCTGATTCCTCTTCTGTAAAGCCAAGAGATGTCAATCAGACCAGAGCTACTTCCAGGACATTTAAATCCAGGAAAGTACATCCTATTTACTGCAAAGCACTCAGGGAAGGATAGAGGATGATCTGTGAAAGGAACTAAATACATCCCTAGACTTTTTGCTATTGCAATCTTACAGTGACTTCCTGAATGATAACATTTGGTACCACAGGGTGTCAGTGCCATCCCAGCAATACCAACAGTACTAAGAAAAAGGTGAAGCTGAGACCCTCAGAAATATTTCTTCCAGGATATTTTCAACAACCAATATTTACAGTAAAGAAGTTTGTTCTCTTTCCTCATCCCTCCCCTGGCATCTATCATCTTCCAGGCAAAAGCCACATTATAATTCGCATGCAAAGAGTCACCCACAGGCAAAATGTTTAGTCTTCAGCTGTTAAATCTCTACTTCCACCCACAATGAGACTTATTAGGCTGCAGAGGTGACAGAAAAACCTTGCAGAGTTCTATCCTCCCTTCAGCTTACAGGTGCAGAGTACGTGCTCCAGTCTTGTCTGAGCAGGGCCCCATACACTCATGAGTAAGATACCTCTTGCAATGCAGAGCAAATTCACATTTTCATGTGCTCAACACATCATGTGTTCTTAGAATTAAGATCCTAAAATGCCATACTCAGTAAGAACTCTGCCAGAATTTAGGAGAATTTATGTGTTCCTAAGTTATTGTAAAAAGAAACTCATTGGGATGAAAGCCTCCTGAGAGCAATATTAAGATTAGATGAGTAAAATTGCAACATTTCCTTCAGCGTGTGAAAGGACTTTGACGTTGAGGATGTGTTCACAGCTCAGTATGACTCACCAACCAGAGTCTAGGGTGACTCTCAGATGTGTTTCTGAATGGCTGACTCCATCCCCTGGTTGCTGCACTGCCTCAGTGCTGCCTTGTCACTTGATAAAAGTTTATGAAAGGAAAATTAATAATGGGCAACAGAGAATTCAAATTTGGAGAGAATTTGGATTTGGACAGAATTTGAATTCCAGTTCAGTAGTTTTAAAATAACAAATAATTTCTGGTGATGTGCTATGTCCTGAAAAACTTTTGGACAGCCACAAATACAAATCTGAGCACAAAGGCATATCCAGTGGATCTGAAAGCTTGCAAGAATCTAAGGAACATCAGAATGAGCCCTCAGCTATGCTGCCAGGCAAAAATAACATTGGAATAATTCAGAAGACTTAATGAAGGTGCACATATTATTTCCAAGTCATCACTGGCCTATTGAGATCTGTTCCAGAGTTTCTTGCTGTCATTTAGTCAAGCCCTCCAAAAGGCAATATGCCTGCTACCTTACTACAAATTCACAATCCCATCATGATCACATCAAGCAAAGGCCAGGGCTTAGAACATCCTGCTCCAGGCTCCCACATTAAATACCTCTGGAACTGGTCTCCTGAACATGACATATATGAGTGGCAGAAGCCAGTGATATTTAGCACTGCTCACACCCAGACTGTAGAGCTTTATTTACTTCTCTACCATTTTAGCATTTTTCATACTTGCGAAAGACAAGTAGCTACATATCAGCTACGGAGAAAGAACCCTATCACGTTCCATTGTGGGGAACTGAGAGGAGTTATTTTAGAACTAGATGGTCTAGAATGGAATTAAGTCAACCGAGACAACCTTGTATCTGAGAACTATTTATTGGTAACCAAAAGAAACAACAATAAAAAAGAAGTTGTCCTACTAAAGAGGGCTAGAAAAGACAGGGAAATATGAAGGAAAATGGAAAATGAATGGGGAGGGAGAGGGCAGACGGCAGACAGAGAAGGAAAGCGGGCATTCCCACAGCAGGATGGGCAGCGCTGTCGCTGTCCATGCGGCCGGGTCACCTCACGCTGCCCGCCGGGGAGCCCGCGCAGCTCCCGGGGCGGCGCGGCCCGGCAGGCCCGGCCCCCGCGGCTCCCGGCGGCCGCACTCGGGGAGCGCTCGGCCAGGAGCTGCAGAACCCTGGACAGGGGCACGGGGGTGTCACGGCAGCGGCCCGGGCCGGAGACAGCCAGGGCTGGACGCCGGGGGCTCAGGCAGGGACACAGGGAGGCGGGACAGGCGGTAACTGGGACGGGCGAACGGGTAAGGCCCGATACAGGCTGGACACGGGGCTCAGAGGTCAGCTGGTGTCCCGCCAGTCGCTCAGACAGAGGGAAGGCGAGTACGTGGGAGTGAGCGAGTGCCAGCAGGGGCAGGAGAGCCAAAAGGCAGGCTGGAGCCAGGGCAAAAAAGGACAAAAGGCAGGCTGGAGCCTGGGCGAAAAAGGACAAAAGGCAGGCCAGGGCTAGGGCAGAGGTGCGGACTGGAGCTCAGCAGGCTGGAGCAAAAGCAAAAACACAAGGCTCAAAAGGCCCCCAGACTCAAAAAGCCCCAACTCAAAAAGCCCCAGGATCACCAAGCCCCAAGGAAACAAGTCTGAAAACACCCCAGAGCTTGTGATGCAGTTACTTTCTATGCCCCCTGGCCCGTCCCCAATTCTGCCTGCTGGCAGGAGAGCACTGGCCCAGTCCAACCTTCCACTGCAGTCCCTTCCCCAGAGACAAGGCTTCCCCCATCTTCTAGTTGTCTCCTTCATGTGGCACATGTGCACCCTCTCCCCCAAACACCTCTGACAATCAGTGTTGAGACAAATAAAAACTAAACTGGCTCCTCACCAACCCCAGTAACTCACTAATTGCCACACTGCTCACAAAACTACTCCTACCACTAGCAGAACTGTATGAGTAATGGAAGTGTCCTTGCCTAGTGGCACCTTAACACTGTTTTCCTATCAGCCTTCAGGTCTGAAGAGTTCTTTTGGTTGTGAATTATGTATTCTGATGAACTCCTCAAAAGTCAGAGCTATATTCTGCATGGATTACTGCTCTTGCAGGGCTATAAGGAGACTTCCAGCAGCTCTACTGGGCTGGGATAGGCTCCTGTGGTAAGCTGAGAGAATGGAGACTTGACGCCCAAGCTACAGCTGCTAGGACAACTCTCCACTGTGGGACCAAGGAGCTGCACCTGCAGAGTCCACTGGCTCTTTGCTCCTGAGAAACACTCTGTTCTCTCAAAAACCCAACTCCCTCACCACCTGCGTCAGCTTCTTCTTCAGTCTTGCCCTCACCTTTCATTTCTGCTCTCTCAAAGCAGTGCTAATCTCCAACTCTTTTTCATTTCAGCATCTTTTAATTGTCACCTTTGAAGTGACCACTGAATTTTACTATTACAGTGTAAAACCACTCAGTATTGACACAGGCTGCTATTAGTTTTAATGCTCAGCTCTGCATTCCAAGGGATTATTTTAAAAACATACTGAATACTCGTAAAATATGTGGTGTTCACAAGCCAGTGTCGATTTCTACTCTGTGGCTTGGCACAAACATGCTCTATCACCTGTGACATCCTTCCTGCATTCACTATTGTTTAAAACTTTCCTGCAGGGGCCTGGTGGAGCAAATCCCTTAAACCTTTTACTTGCTGTGGAGCTTCTGTCACAGTAGGAGCAGAACAGATCCTGTCCTGACCCCACAAAAGTTTTACTGCATTCCTTTCTGTGCTACTCAATGACACAATGACAAGCATCCTCTGGGCCTCTATTTTACCAAATACAAGTACATTCCAAAGTTCAGCAAGGACAATTTTGGCTTTCCCAATCTGTATTTTCCATGTGATCTAATGACACTGTCACTTATTTATGAATCACCCCAGCCCAGGTAGCCTAGAGAAGTATCTGCAGGCTCAGAGCAGGCTTTAGGAGCCTGGAAGAAGCTTTTTTTGATTTAGATGCCAGGCCCAAGAGTGTATTTAAACTCCTGTCTCCCCACCAGAGACAGCCATATGCCTCTGGGACACCATCCCCTATGCCAAATGTGCAATGCTCTTTGTGTAACACCAAATTCAGCAGAAAGGTACTTCTGGTAGAAGTTTAGGAATGGAGGATAGTTATTATAAATGTTTCATATATCTGTATGTAAAGACAGATAAATAGATAGATAACTATGTATATACATCTGCACACCTACATACATCAGTATCTATATGAAGTCCTGTTTAGACCCTTCCCCAAATCTGCATGTGATTTGTGCTTATAAAGGCAAACAAAATGAGATTTAGAGTTAAGCCAGCTTGGATGGTTATGTGTGTCACAACAGTTTCTGAAAAATTATGACAGGACTTAAAAGTCACCAATGAAATAATAATAATAAAGTATTTTCCTGTTATTTTGGCAGCTTATGCTTCTTGGACTTACTGCTTAGCTTACAAGAAGCCCTATCACTATTTGGAGAAAAAAGAAAACTTGGAGCATTATCAGTAAAACAGAGATTCTACCCGTATCTTTAATGCAATATTTGCTCTGCAGACCTGCAAAAACTTACTTTAAAAGATAACTGTGACCTTTCATGAACCCAATCTCATTTTAGCAGGAGAGTTTCATGCTTCTCTGTGAGAGTGAGATGTATCTATTAAATTCCTTTCAAAGACCTTGCCTGACTTATTTCTTCTGCAATTGAGGGCCAAAATAGCTCGATATCAAATATCTGCAAGCACCTTAGTAGTTTTGGAAGAGTGGAACTGCTGGATCAAATCCTCACATTGATCACACTGTTTCAAAATGCAACAAGAATCACCTCATTATGTTTTCATCTGGAAAGGATTATAATGTAATATTATGACAAGAGTCTGCCCTACTCTAAAGGCATGGGGATAATGAGGATTTGAGTCCTGAATATGTAACTATTTACATAATAAATAAGACATTTATTAAGAACAGAGACATGTATTACTGCATGAAATACAGAACTCAAGTCCATTAACCTTAATTAAATGGTTTTGAAACCAAGAATTTTCTATAGTAGTTCAGATGTATTAAAAGGGCCCTATGCATGACTGGTCTTGATATGTAAACATGTAAGCGCTCCCAGAAGGGCCACATCCTTAAAGACTACAGGTTATCTATGTATCTACTTTATGAAGACACTGTCCCATCTGCTGAACCAGCATGTGCGTGGGCCCCACTGCTACATTTGAGTGTGGTACTGAAATAAAACTTCTCCTGTATTTAGGAACAAAACACTGTAAATCAAATCCACAATCATTCCAGGAAGTATGGATGCACCAAACTGCTCAGTTTTCCATCCCTGTTAATTCTGTAAATTAACCACAAACTCCTACTGAGCTTTTGAAGGACAAAATGCTTCTTGTGAAAGCCCAAAGGAAAAAATACATGAGTAAACAGGTATGTTCAGAAGGATAGATGGGGGATTTGTACCTAAGCACATAAGGCCTCTTTTTTCAATATGTACAATGATAGAATCAGAGAATGGTTTGACTTGGACGGGATCTTAAAGCTTATTTGATCCCATCCCTTGCAGGGACACTTTCCACTAGACCAGGTTGTTCCGAACCCCATCCAACCTGGCCTTGGACAATTCCAGGGGTAGGGCAGCCAGAGCTTCTTTGGGCAACCAAAGGCCTCACCACCATAACAGGGAGGAATTTCTTCTGTATATAGGATTTCTTTAAGCTTTAAAGTCTGAAAGTCGAGGGCACCTTAGGCAGGCATTTGAGGATTTAAAGAGTCCTTCTCAAAGATAACCTTAAAACATGTTCAGTGTTCATTACTTTCACCAAATACGTTCACGAAATTCACCATATTCATCAATGTTCACCAAATACAGAGTGCTTTGAAGATCTTTTTAATGAACATAAATTTTAACAAAAAATACTGCTAAGCCATTATTAACATTGTATCTAGGCACAGGCTACCTGACTTGTAAAGCTGCCAGAAACACTAACTCTATTTTGATAACAGTATAATATCTCTATTTTAATTTGCCTCTATTTTTTTTTTAATAAATAAATTTTTAAAAATCATCAAATGTCCTTGTTTTATTTTACCACAATGAAATAAGCACAATCACAAGCCTGCACTTCAGTTTCCTATTAGGGTTCATATTACATTTATTTTTCCCACCCTATTCTTCCCTCAAAGCAGTGAATATGCAGGCAAGTAATTCTACCATCACTCCAACTCTGTGGATGATACAAACCTGCCTGCAGCCTCTGTCCCTCTGCAACTAGGTGGTCATTGCTGCACCCAGCCTCTTTATTCACCATTATAACAGAAATTCTTTCATTTTATGCTTTAAAAAAGACACCTAATATTTCACCAGGTATAATCAGCACTTCCAAGTGACTGTAAACCAGGCTGCCCAAGCCCAGCCCATTGGGGAGGTGCTCTGACTGTGAGTCACAAAGGAACCCACAAATTAATCACCAGCCCTACACCACTTCTCACCTGGTCCTGGCTACTTCCTTTCCTCAGGCTCTGGTAAGAAACTCACACGTGAAGCAATCCCCAAAGACAATGACAGCCATAAAAAAACTATTCAGGCTGCTGATAGTTAGGTACATATCATTAGACAGCCTGACTAAATTAGGATACGGAATTTTAGGCTTCCCACACTCTTCTGAGCAGAGGTAGGGTATGTTATGTTCCTGTCTCATGGAAAGCTGGCACATGGCAGAATGGTAGCTGGGTTTGTGCATCCTTTGCTGCTTATTCATCTCTCTTCTTACCCCCCAAAAACTGGATGTGAAGCTGCAGATCTCCTTTTTACCTGTATTAAGGAGCAAAGAAATGGTAAATCCCCACCACTAATAGCCTGCACAGACAGACCAATAATGAAGTACAACTGTATTGGGTTTGCATGGCAAAGCTTTGGTAGGAGGGTGGGGGGTACAGGGGTGGCTCCTGTGAGAAGCTGCTGGAGGCTCCCTCCGTGTCTGGCAGAGCCAGTCCCTGGCAGCTCCAAAGACAGACATGTCACTGGTCAAGGCTGGGACAGTTAGAAATGGTGGTAAATGTCTCTGTGATAATGTGTTTCAGAAAAAAGGAAAAAGAAGTTTTTGCACAGCTGTAATTGCAGTCGGGGAAGAGCAGAGTAAGAATATGTGAGAGGAACAACTCTGCAGACACCGGATGCCTGAGAGGAGGCTGTGACCCCGTGGGAGCCTGTGGAGAGAGGGGCCTGTGCTGGAGCAGCCTGTCCCTGAAAGACTGTACCCATGGTAGGGTGACCCATGCTGCAGCAGTTTGATGGAGAGTGTGATGGACTCACATTGCAGCAGTTTGCAGGGATCTGTTGCTTGTGAGATGGACTCACACTGGAGAAGTTCATGGAGAACTCTCCATGAGAAGGACCCCACGGTGCAGCAGCTCCTGAGTAGCAGGAGAAATAGTGGGTGATGAACTGACTATAACCCCCATTCCCTGTCTTCTTGCACCACTGGGGTAGGAGGTAGAGCTAGGAAGGAGGGGTGTTTTAAGGTTTTATGTTTTTTCTCATTATCCTGCTCTGATGTTGTTAGCCAAAGTTCAACTAATATCTCTGATTAGACTCTCTTTTGCCTGTGATGGTATTTCATAAGTGATCTCTCCTGGTCCTTATCTGAACTTTTTTTGTATTTTCTCTCCCCTGTCCAGCTGTGGAGGTGAGTGATAAGAGAGGCTTTGGTGTGTGCCTGGCATCCAACCCACTACACGGGAGCCTGCTCCTGGATCATGGAGCAGCTTCTGCCCTACTGCTCTGGGAATTACAGCCTGTTCACAAGTACTTGCTAGCACAGCACTATGTAGAAGATGAAATTTTCTTCTTAAGTACTTCTGGTTGCCACCAGCAGAAGAACTGTATATTCACCACCCCATCCAACTGCCTTGAAATCTTGGCAACTGGGGGGTTACACTGATGGAAAAATTATTTACCCTAAAATTCCTGCAATGCACAAGACCAGATAACTAAGCCCAGAATTCTCAACAGCTGCAGACAAAAGAGCTACAGCTAAAACTATCACATCCTCTGACCATCAGGCACACCTCAAAGGGATGCCCCATATATGGCAAAAAACCAGAAACAAGCCTGGCTGCGGGCTGTTGTTGATACCCAGCTGCTTTCCATTGATGTTTGACTTATGTAATTCCACTTAAATGCCTTAGCTGGTTCTCCATCTGGCCATCACTATCTCTTGCCTGATTCCTTCCATTTTAACCCTCTGCTTCATCCCTTTGACATCTTCTGTTTTGTAATAGCCCACATCCATCCCAAGCTCCTCTTTCAGTCCATGGGCAAAGCCTCCTATCATCTGCTGAGCTCCTCTGGTACATAATCCTCACTGCATTCACCTTTACCAGAGGCTGCTTCAGTTCTGCCTGGACAGCTGCACACACATTGCCTCAAGTAACTCCTCACTCATCTGGCTATGAAAATCATCATGAACACCAATTAAACACCCAAACTGCTTTTAATTGACCAGCAGTAATTCGGTGTTTTGCTGACTACTTATAAAAGGTCACAGTTCTGTGTTTTCCAGTTCTGACTAATAGTTCCCACCACCTGTAACACCTAGAAATGGAAGTATTGCTCAGTTGTTTTTCACTTCCCTCTTTAGCACAGACTAGTAAAAGACCATTTACCTAATAAATTATACAATTAAAAGTATCTCTAGTGTCTAACGCTACCCTAAAAACTGGATGCAATGGAGGAACTACTTCATGCCCATCTGAAACTTGTGGACGTGCTAAATCAATGACTGGTCCTTGATTAAGGGCTGGAGCACTCACCTTGAGCTTTAACACTTCAGCTGATCAGCATGTGTACATGAGTAAGTGTTGGTGAAAAGGATTGTCTTCTGCTTCAACTGACAAACTGCTGGATAGCTTTTAAATGAAAAATAAAAAAGAATAAAATAAAACATAAATAAAATCTGTGTTCCTCCAGACCCAGGGGAACAAACAAACCAGACCTTCTGGACCCAAGCCCCAGGCCCTGCCAGTGACAGACACAGCACTAAGGCACACACAGCATGTCTTGGTGCTTAGGTTACCAACTTCTGAACTCAGGAAAGAAAGAAGAGAAAGGAAAACTTCTAGATTATTTAACAAAGTCATTTCAGCAATGATCACTCTTTGTACTTAATGGAACAAAAGAGCAAAGTCCTCTGCTCATGGACAAGAAGTGACTGTGTATGGCTCAGCTCACGGCCACATAATACATTCTGAACCTCAGTCTGCTGGAGCATCCTCCATATGGGGACGCTAGGGGAACCCTTGACAGCTGGACTCACCCTTGTCTACCAAAAAAATGCTGAAACAGTCCTGACCTAGCATGATGTAAAAGGAAATAATGCCAGAAGCATTTACAGGGTCAGGTCTGAAAGCCAAGTGAGGTCCTGGCCTCATGTACTGCCCTGTCTTAACCACAGAGGCAAACAGCTAAGAAATGCAACTATTTTCTGCTAAAAAGAAGCAGATTCCTTGGACAAAAGGAAAACTCAATATGACAGAAGGAAACACTAAGGCAATGGTGATAATCTAACACATACTGGATAATAACCATCGCCTAACCATTCCCAAAGAAAACTGAAATTAAAAGTCACAAGGCAGACACAGAATATGTTTTGTGTGTGGTGAAACCCCACAGAGTAGGGTGGGCAAAGCTCTGTATATGCTGAATCATCTCACAATACTGCCAAATTCCCAAAACCCCGTCCTTGATTTGATCAGCCTGTACTCATGAGAAAAGGAAGTAAACATCTTTAAGGAAGAAGGCACTGAAAAACGGAAGGATTTAACTGCAAGGAACAGATGCTGGCCGATCTTTGGCGAGCACGTACACAGGCAGCCATTGACCAGTGAACTGGGTGGTAACAAGTTACTAGCCAATTGGGATCAAATGTGTGATTTTTGAAAGCCATATAAATATAAGCTATGAACAATAAAGGTTGCTATTGCTGCTTGAACCTTGGAGTGTCATGTCTGTCCCCACTGCGACAGTTGTGAAATACATTATTCAGCCAACACTGCTGGTGGAGATTTGGTAAGGGTGTGCACACTGCACTGCACACCCTGGTGACCACATAAATAGCAAGATGTGCTGCTTGGCATAGTCAAAGAGAGAGCAGCAGCCTTGCTTGTGAGGCATTTGGAAACCAGTGCCTTACAGGTCAGGACTACTTGTTATCCCACTTTCATTGCATCACAACTTTCTGGAACCTGAGTAATACAGACTAACCCTGCCTCAGGGCAGGCAAGAAATCACCATGGGGAGGAGCTGGAGACAAATGTGTCACTAGTCCTTGCCACATGCATCACCAGTGACACAGCATATGCTCCCAGTTACACTGTGGATCACATTCTGGATGGAGCTCTGCAGTCCTCCATCTTCCTTAGAAGAGACAGATGCACATACATTACAGTCAATCATCCAATTTGCACTGATCTTCCAGACAAAATCACAGACTACTCACAGAAAAACCTATGGCATGAAGTTATGGTTTACTTGGTTGAAAAGAGGCCTCAGGAGTTGTTGCCAGATATGTACAACTTTTGTTTGCTCTACAGCACGGTTTCCTCGTCTGAACCCATCCATCATATGCTCCGTAGAAGACCGCAGTGGTTCTTGGAGCAGCAAGTGTTGCCCAACAGCTGAAGCCTTCCTCGAGTGCACAGTGTTCAGGAGCTGCTGCTCTTACTGGACCACACAGCATCATTCTGGAAGTCTTCTGTTCACATGCCCTCCATCTTCAGTGCCCATGCACAGCACTCTAAGGAAAAACTCAAAGATCTCACTCTTACACCCACTGCAGGAACTCACACACAAGTCAGAGGACATACTGGGCTCTCTCACCTCCATTGCCTGCCTTGTTCCCAGGATGTCAGTCCTGCAGAGCAAATCCTGCAGTATTATACAAAGTTATATAGCAGTATTATAATATATTTGTGTAGCAACATCCGGCCTCCATTTACACATGCAGCCAATGCAAACTGGTGAGTAAACTCATGGAAGTATTAGATGTGATAATGGATTCTTCTTGGCTTTTGCTAACCTGACACCAAGGGTAATGCAATGCATAGAAGCAGCCATACAGTTTCAGACCTAAAGGTTAACTAAACTCAACATTCTTTTTTCTAACAGTGATAGCAGGAGAAATGCACAGGCAAAGAAAGGAAATAGGGCATGCTCAGTGCAGGCTTTCTTGGAGGATATGCTGGTGCTTCTAGCAAACAGGGATGTAAAAAGTTGCTGCATGGGACTTTGCAGCACCCCTTAAGCATAACCAATCTGTGCTAGAAATTATTTAACAATCAAGATGAAGATTGTCAATAACTGATAGCACAACTAGTTTCCAGAAATAAAGAAGCAGCTTAGCTACTGAGTCCTCTGAACAGAGGTGAGGATGGATCTCTTTGGTACTTTTGCAAATTGCTTTTCTTGTGTGGTTGCAGCTTCCCTGTTTAGGAGGTAGATGATGCAATGCTGAATCCTTCTGCTCAGTCACCCTCAAAGACAATGCTTCCTGATGTTCAGAGGTCCTCCCTTTGCTTCAGTTTGTGCTCACTGACACTGAGCACCACTGAGAAGAGTTTGGTTTCATTTTCTTTACATTCTCTCTTCACGTATTTATAACAATTGATAAGATAACCCTGAGACATCTCCTGGATGAACAGCCCCAGCTCACTCAGTCTTTCCTCACAGTCTTTCCTCCTGTCCCTTTACCACCTTCACACTGCTTTGTTGGACTCTCTCAAGGAGGTCCCTGTCTCTCCTGTCCTGTGAAGCCCAGAGCTGCACACAGCACTCCAGGTGTGGCCTCACAAGTGCAGAGCAGAAGAGCAAGATCACCTCCCTGACCTGCTGACAATACTTTGTCTAATGCAGCCCAGGATACCACTGGCCTTCCTTTCAGCCAGGGTACACTGCTGACATATGATCTACTAGTTCCAGCAGGGCTCAGCATTTCTGGAGGGCTCTACATCTGAGAGCTTCAAGTCCCATAAAAGTGCTGAGTAAACTCACTGTAAGGGATTACAAGATCAACTGATCCATTTTGGAGAGACATCTGAGTAATGAAATCCCCTGCATCCAAGTAACTGGGAGCAAGAGACAAGGACTGAGAGTTTAATGTACCTGCTCCTGCTTCTAGCCCTGTTTGCCAGGCTAGAAAACTTTGGGTACTTCCTCCTGGGTTTCCCTGATGACTCATGCTATTTTCATCCCAAGCACAAAACTCTGACATTATTTATCCTTTAGCAAATAGATTCAAAACAGAATCAAAATTGCTTCAAGCATGGAGTAAATTTTGCTTTGATGAAGCCTGTGTTGACTAAGCTGACCTGATCTGCTGGAAGTCTGTGTGCCCCCTTCCCCGTGGGGGTTCCTCTGCCACAGTTCAAAGGCAAAACAAGAAAATGTGCCTGGGCTGGGAAGAAACAGAAGTCACACTCCTAGAACAACACTGTTCTAGTTGCAGACTAGAACAAGCTGGAAGAACAAAGTTTGCCCTCTGAGAGAGCTCTTTGAGCCCAGTGGAGAGAGCAGAGAATTCACAATGGACTCAAGTTTGGGAAACCTCTCAGACTCTATTATGTGTGTTTGAGAACAGGTATTACCTCATGGCGGAACTAAGTGGGAAAAGGAGGACTTGTACATCACACATTCTTACATTAAGTCAGAATAACCCTGTTAGTTAATAATTTTATACCAGTTTACAATCACAGGAAGCTGTGCCTTGTGCATTACATGTTCATTCTTAGGCTTTGGTATCCTATTTGCACATAGTGGATAGATGCAACTGCATAATTCATGGTTGTATTGTTATGAACTCTTGATAGCATTGCCTCACATTATTTTTTCCTCTCTTCATTTTATCCTAAAGCACTGGCATATTGGTAAAGCCTGTACCTCTTGCTTTTTTCATAGCAACAGCAGTCACAGGAGGGAGAAGCAGAGGAGCTTGCCACTGCCATATTGACAGAAGTCAGCACTTCAGATCCCTGTTACTGTCTCAGAAAGAAAGATCCTGTCATATTCATTTTAATCTGCAGCAAGTGCCAAATTATGTCAATGTCAGTGTGAGAAGCTGTTCTGTCTCTTCCTTCCTTTCTCTGGTGGTACTGAGGCACAGACAAAAGATAAGGAAGACAAAACACCCAGCCATGGTTTGTGTTCAGCTGGTGAGTTTTTCAAATGGCTTGGCTACACAAGGATAGGCAGCAATAGGATTTTTCTTTCCAGAAAGGACCAAACACTAAAAGCAGGCTAGTCTTTGCCTGACCTACAGATATCCCATGTCCTATGTTTCTTTTAACTGTCATTAAACATTTTATATGGGATGGCAAAGGAAAAAGCAGAAGATAAGAACTAGTAAAAGATATTTAATTACTGAAAGTAAAGAAGTTACTTTGAGACTTTAAATACAGTGCTTAGGATTCAGCAGAAGCTGAGCAGAAAGTTCATTAATTAAGACCCAACAAAAAAAATGGCATGCATTTCTTCCTTTTATATGTTTATGGCTAGAGGCTGTCCCATTCCCACCTAAGTGACTCCCCCGGGCACAGCCCAGAGCAGTCAAATAAGCTCCTGTGATTTTCCAACTGAAAAAATGAATCAACACAAAGATGAGTATATCAGAAGAGCTGTTTATGGAATACAGTTGAGCTGGACTTAGTTTATCTTCACTCACAAATGCTTTAGGACTGTCACATTACACTCACTGGCAAATACACACATGCATGGAAATGCGCAGCCCCATATGCATGTCACCTATGAGCTACCAAATAATAAGATGTGGTATTTAATGTCCAAAAGAATAAATCTTCTCATTTTTTTAGGCTCCCTCTTGAAATTTTTGCTGATCTATGCACTTTAGGCTCATCTAACATTGCTGGGGAACTTTTGATGACTTTTAAGTCTGAGCATTCAAGACTTCTACCCAGCCTTGGGTGTTTTCTCATTTATTTTAAGAAAATCCATCTAACATTTATTTTCAGGCAGCTACTCAAAGAGAAAAAGGGAGGCACTCCCTCAGTGTATCCAGACTGTTTTGAAGAGACATCCAAGTAAAGCTTTTGAAGAGCCACAAACATCAATATGACTTCTGTTACCCACTTGTGAGGATTTCTGACATTGCCTTTCAGTCACACTCCCCTTTTAAATCATTAATGAGCATCCTCCAAGGTGCTTCATCCTTCCAAGGTGACTGAATCTACTCCAAGAATTTTCTGCTTTTCTGAAATGCACTTGAATAGACAGAGCAGACATGCCAGCTGTGCCTTCTGGATTTTTAAAAGTTTTTGCTATTTCTGGTAGCAACACCATTTTTATCACCACTACTCATCACTGTGAGCCAGAAAGCAGCAGGTCACCTCTCTATCCTGGCACTTTGCAGTTACTCTTGAGGAGGCTGAGCTTCCATCAGTCCTAGAATACAGAAGTATTCAGGAGGCCAGGAGCCTGAAGTCTGGGCCTGAGGCAGCCCTCCTGGCTTGTTGCAAAAGCTTTGCTGAAAGCAACACATTCCTACATAAGAGTTTAATTTCAATAAAAAAGCCTTTGCCACTTCAAAATACTTGGAAAGTAACTGATTGGATATAGAGCCAATGCCCTTTCTCAGCAACCCAGTGTGCAGAGAAAGCAAAGAAATACCCACATACAAAATCTGAGTTCACAGCTAGTTCACCCCCTAAACACAGTCTGTGGATTAGGATTAGCCATCAGGAGTGGCTCTGAAGGCTGACTCTCCCTCATCCATCATCTGCCAAGGACACAGCAACTTCATACTCTGGCAAAATTCAGCAGTATTCAGAATTCTTACAACAACCATAGAGAACTCCATGCAATGGAAACCAACAGATGCCCTGACCTACCTCTTGGCAATAAGACTGCTATAACAACATGACATTAAATGCATGACTTGCTACTGAAACAAAATTTGTTTTTTTTCCCCTCAGTGCTGGCTAGTGCTTTAATTTAACCCACATAATATCACATAGCCATCTCCAGGGGGCAAGTCTTCTCCTTGCTTCTGTTTTAAACATTATCAGCATGGCTATGTACAACCACATTCTAGAGCTTTTCAGTCAACCATTGCTCAATTCCACCTCTACGACACAAGGGCTTTAGCAGAGCTGCTTCATACTGACTAGACATATTTTCTCACATGTTCAGAGGAGAAACAATGGAAATATCCCACTGCTTGTTGCATGGTTTTGTTCTCTTCAACTAAACAAGACTTGTGAGTGGTACAGGAGGAATGAGGGATGTATTTTTTTGTTGGAGCCCAACAATCAACCTACAACAAGGGGATGAAGAGGCCTCTAGGGGACTTCTGACCACTGAGGTCAGTGATATATTATTATTTTAACATTCATAAAATCACTTTTATGGTATTTGTCTCCTTGTTTTCTTCCATTCCCTATTTGTCCATCTAGATACATCTACTCTCTCATGTATCAGGCTGTACAATCTCTAGTGCAGAGACCATGTTTTCCTTGTGTTTATACACTGCCCAGTGCATAAAGATTCTTGTCTAGCAATAGAGGACTGGAGATACCTGCTGTCCAGTCACAGAAGCAGATGACAGCTCTCAGCTTCCTCAGAAGAAATATAATTGGTTTTATGCAACAGCCACTCCAAGTACAACTGTATTTTGCAAAGTACTTTTCTGTCAGATTTCAGCCAGGCTAAATTATGGTTCTTCCTCTTGCCAAGGATACTTCCTTAGTTTTTGCTTTGCATTTGGATCAGAAAGCACTAAAGCACAAGGCTCTGCCTAATGACTTCAAACCAGAGGCCTCTGGATCCACTCTCAAAAGTAGGTTCCCTCTCTGTGTACCTGCCTAGTCCCTCCACAGCTTCCACCCTCTTACTGATGGATGGTCATTCTCAGCCAAACCATAACCATGGCCAGCCACTTTGCTTATGCCAAAGCCATAACTGGGGGCACTGGGCAGAACTGTCCACACAGCTGGCATGATCTGTCACACCACTGTAACCTTGCGCTTCAGAAGTTTTGCTGCCACTGCCATGTAGCTCACTGGTAACAGAAAAAAATTCGCAACAGATAACAGTTAAAATAAAATAATGTAATCTGAGTCCTGCTCTACTACATGATTATCTGTTTACCTTTAAATTGCTTGTAATAATTAGGTAGTGTCAAATTAATGAATTTCACAGTATGTGTCACATATCACCCTGTCACACAGTTGTTTCTTCCACAGCTGCAACAAAACTAAGGGTAAGACCGTGAAATTACTGATAGAAGGCAATTAACAGTGTCTACTCACATCGGAAAAAAAGATGTATCCAAGAGAATTATTCCATCATTCCCCTATCTTTAGTAAATTATAACAAATTAGCCTTTTTATTTTTGGAAGAAATACACCACGAAGCAGTTGCCCTTTGCAGAAGTCCCCATTCCACCAGTGTAGTGTCACCATGCTGTATGCATGGGCTGCTGATTCTGGCACTGGCAGCCACAGACCGTGAGAGGAAAAGCTTGGAGATAGGGGCCTGGTGGTATGCCAGAGAAGGCAGTTCCACACCTTTCACAATTCTTTCTCTTCTCAGTGCACCTTCTGCAGAGAAGGCCGAAGCTAAGACATTTTATATAATTTGTTTTGATCACCCTGTTAGCTTAAGTGGAAACACGTCTTCCCATAATAATAAAATTCTATAGTATACAGAGAGAAACAGGCAAGCACACAGAGAGAAACAGGCAAGCACCAAAACCACAGGAATCACTCCCATGGGAAAATAAAATTCAGTTAGGGAGGAAAAGAGTCAGAAGGCAGCATATGGGAAAGTAAAAGGTGACAACACAGGCAGCAAGATGATGGGAGAGGAAGCTGTGCTATCAGTAAGTACCAGTGTTCAAAATGCACAGAGCACTGTGCAGCCCCTTCTCTGCCACAGGAAAGAGTCAGAACAGAAGAATGAGCACACGGGCTGCCTCTCAATCTCGTGGCAGGAGGGTTCTTTANATCTTTTTCCTCCCTTACCTTGACATATTCCTCCCCTCACAAGTCCTATAAAATTCTCAAGAGCTGTATAAAATTTTTTCTTCAGATTAATTTCTGTTCCCTTCCCCAGGGAGGTTTGAACAAGATTTAAGAATAGAATCAATTACAAAACTGCACAGATGTGGGGTGAGATCTTAGAATCACAGAACAGCCTGGGTTGGAAGGGACATTAAAGACCATCCAGTTCCAACCCCCTGCCATGGACAGGGACACTTTCCACTATCCCAGGTTACTCTAAGCCCCATCCAACCTGGCCTTGGACACTTCCAGGGATGGGGCAGCCACAGATTCTCTGGGCAACCTGGGCCAGGGCCTCACCACAGTCACAAGGGAGATGTATTTCTAATATCTAATCTAAAGTGCATTTAAAGTCATTTAAGTTTTGTTCTTAAATGGTTTGCATCTTTTGTCTGCTCTAGTACCCACATGCCATCCAGCTTCCAATTTTTAGGTGCAGCATTTCCATTTCTATTTTTTCTACTGTATTTTACTGTGTAAAGGGATTGCCTGTAGATACCCCAAGAATTACCAACTTCTCCAGCTTCCTGTTGTGTGTTACCTCCCAGATGACTGTGTACCCATAAGGATTAAGAATGCAGTGTCTTAATAATTCACAGTCAGTGTAGTATTTCTGACAGACAGACATTGCTGTAGAGAATTAGAGAGCACAAATACCGTATCTGTATTTTAACATATGACTGAAGGTAAAATCCAGAAGCTCACAAACTAGCAGCGTTTACACCTGTATATGGAAAAAAAAATACAGTTTGTGATTGTGGAAAACAGAACATTACAATCTCATATTTCCATAGAACTACTAAAAGTGAGAAGATAAATTTTCCTCTTAGGAAATCAAGCCTGATGTATTCCAGTCCTTTGATTGGAAGAGATGAATGAAGCATGAAGCAGAGATACTTGCTCTTGGGGATTACTGAGCATATTCAGGCCTGACTGAACATCATGAATTTCAGAGGGATCTAAACCATCCACAGTAATGGGCAATAAAAAGCTCAAAGCTGGTGAGAAGAGCACGTGGACTAGAGGAAAACAGTGTCATGGAAGTGCTCACAGCTCATAGGGTATTAAAGAGGTAACATCAGCTAAAGAAAGCAAGCCTAGTGACACTGTAAACCTGTCAGTGGGGACTGCTCCTCAGGAGGAAAGCCAAACAATACATGTAGATAGATAGGGAATGGGTGATACATAAGAATCAATTAGTATGGATAAGCCTAAATCAGTGGTGCAGTGTGGAGGCAGGTCAGCCTGCCAAGGCTTTCCCCTGGAGGAATGTGCCCTCAGGGAGCTGTGTTAAGCTTATCTCAACCCTCTCCTGGAGAGATACCCCTTGGATGGGACCATCCTCACTTGTCATGGTGAGCTGTCCCACCATGCTTGGTGACTATGCTGATCCTTTGTAACCCATTGGTTTTCCCCCCTGTACAACCCTGGCCTTCCCCCATAAAAACCCCAGCTTCTGCCCAGTTCAGCAGGGAGGTGTCAGCCCTGGCTACCCTTTGCAGAGCTGCTGGACAATAAAGGCTGTCTCTGGAATCACCACACGACGCTCCTGTCTCTCTGAGTCGGCCCAGGATAACCTTGAAAGCAGAGCTGGAATCACTGAGCTGGAATCATTGAGCTGAAATCTCTTGCGGCCACAGGCTGCCCCTTGCTGAGGTTACCCAGTGGCC